GAGAACCAGGTGCAAGAAACACCTGTTGGTCCCCATGTCTTCCTGTCCACATGTCTTCCTGTCCACATGTCTTCCTGTCCACATGTCTTCCTGTCCACATGTCTTCCTGTCCACATGTCTACCTGTCCACATGTCTACCTGTCCACATGTCTACCTGTCCATCTGTCCATCAAAGTAAATCTTTGTCTAATATTTTTTTTCTGATTCTGAAGCATCAACAGAAAAAGCATCCATCTTTAATGTTTTGGTTGTTTTCTGATGGTTGTCCTGCAGAGCTGCTGCACCTGAAAGCTGATCTGGTCTGAGAGCAGCCGGGACATGGATGTCTCCAACATTTCTAGTTATTCTTAGAACCGGGTCGGGTCGGAGCCCACAGTTTATTATTTTTACTTTGTTACAGCAAAACCAAACAAGATTTAGAAAAAAAATAATCCAAAGGAAAAACTATTTCACCAGAAAGGAGAGGATGTAAAAAAAACAACAAAAAAAAAAACCTAAGAATTGTTGTTGTTTGGTTGATCTTTGTCATTGTGGGTTCCTTTCATCTGTTCAGATGAAACCACAGATTCTGAGTCAGAACTGGGTTCAGGTCTCTCACCTGGTCGTAGGTCCAAACAGCGCTGGCTAACTCCACACAGAACATCACCAGCAGGCTGATAAAGTACTGAAACAAACCAGGACACAGTTATCTTATGCAGTCTTTGTGGCACTTCCTGTGGGATTTTCAAAGTAAAAGGAGTGGGAACACTGAAGTTTAAAATGGTTTCCTCATCCTAACAATCTGTAAGTTCTAAACACAAACATTTCTTTTCTAATCCTGAGAGCTGCAGCAACAAAACCAGCCATCTTCTGGTTCTAACAGCTCTGATCCTGTTTGTATTGTACCCAGGTGAGCAGCTGCAGGTTACACCTCAGAGCGCCGCAGTGGCCCACCAGGGCCACAATGATGAGGAGACAGCAGGAAGTGATGATGACAGGATGAACCGCCGGGTGGTAGGTGAGGACGGCCGCTCCATCCAACCTGCAGCACCACGAACATGGGAACATGTCACCCACCATGTGTCATACTGTTTCCCTACATGAATACATG